GCCACCTGAGCAAAGAGGCAGGGTGGAAGCATCGACATCCTCTGGTAACCAGAGTCAAGTAAGAACACGGCCATTCTGAGCGAGTTCCCACATTCCCTAACAAAAACACACAGGTAGGTGCACATGTGCTTTGCTTCAAGACATTCACAGAGGAGCAAGAAGGCAAGCACACAGTCCTCAGAGGAGCTTGTGAGGAAAAGGAGTATGCTGTCTCCTGACCAGAAAGAAGGCCACGCAGTAATACAGGCCCAGAGGAGCAAGAAGGCAAGCACACAGTCCTCAGAGGAGCTTGTGAGGAAAAGGAGTATGCTCTCTCCTGACCAGAAAGAAGGCCACGCAGTAATACAGGCCGCTCTGGTAAAGGAGCCCAGCCATCCCCAGCCACGCTCCCACAGCTGCCAACCAAGGGTCTGGTAGGGATCGAGGCCAGGCCAGCCCCATCTGCAAATGTGCCAGCGCATCCCCTGTGGACCTGCGACCACATGCATGCCCAGCTATGGCATGAAGGCTAGTGCTAGAAGCTCAAGCCCTGCCTACTGAATACCTTCACCTGGATGCCTTCGAATCACAGAGCTCGCTGCCCCCCGCCCCCAGGCCTGCTCCCTCCCCTGCGTCCCCACCTCAGTGAATGGCTGTAGGGTCCTTGGCTCTCTCCTTTACTTCCTTAACCCAACTGGTCACTAAATGAAGTCGGCTCCACCTCCCAAATCTCTTAGGTCTACACCCACTCCCCAGTCCAGGCGGCTGTGACTGCACAAAGGGATGGGCACAGGACAGCAGAGGCACTTCCTGCGTTGGTCTCAGCAGAGTCAACTGACCAGTCCCCACTCCAGCTGAAACCTTTCAACCGATGGCTCTGCGCCGTACACAGGGGGACGCCTCTACATGGTTGACAAAGCCCTTCGTGATGCGGCCCTGATTACCGCTGCGGGCTCCTTTCTCTTTGGTACCCTCTTGCACTCTCCCTGGTCTGGTCACAGTGAGTCACGTTCAGTACACTGGAAGTGCACATTCTCCCGTAGCCCCAGTCTCAGGATAAGCCAGTGGTTCCCAAACTCTGCTATACTTCGGAATTGCCTGGGCCTCTTTGAAAACTGCCAATGCTTGGCTCCCTCCCCTGACATTTTGCATGGCATGGGTGTGAGATGCAGGCACAAGGGTTTTTAAAAGCTCCAAAAAAAAAACCCACATAGGTGCAAATAAAAGGAAAAGTGTTCCCCTGCAAGCTACCATGGAGCAGTCCTTTGCCCCGATGGCTTTCTTATGTGCTGTTTTACCCGCCGTGGTTCAGCTTCTGTCCAACCAGCCCCTAGCGGCGCACTTCAGAAGGCTACCAAGGACTTCTGAACTGCTCATGTAGGGTGTTCTTCTATAAAAGTCGTAGGAGTGGTAAACACAATAATTACAGCTGCCACACACAGCTGATTACTACTACCAGGCACTGTTCTAAAACAGTAAAGGACAACCCTCGCTGCCTCTGAAGCAGCTGTTATCAAGACCCCCATCTTACAATGGGGAAACTGAGGTGCAGAGAAGGGGAACAATTCATGCAAAGTCCCACAGCTTGTAAGGGGCAGAGACATGACTCAAACCCGAGCGTACAGCTCCACAGACCCGGCTCCTCACCACTATCCTGCACTACTCACCATATTTATGGAAAATTTGGAAACACAGGAACACATAAGCAAATATAAATTGCCCACAATTTTACACCCCAGGAACAGCTATTCTTAACGTTTAGTAGTTTCCTTATTTTCTTCATTCATAGGTATAGAAATAGGTATATGTATTTTTATTCAAAATATGAACCACACCAAATATAGTTTACCTTGCCTTTTCGAGTATTTCTCCTGTATTAAATACTATTTGAAAACATTTTAGTGGCTGCACAATCATCTTCATGTTCCCTAACTTCTTTTTTTTTTTTTGGAAGCTATGGTATGGGGATCTGAACCTGTGACCTTGGTGTTATAAGGCTGCACTCTAACCAACTGAGCTAACCAGCCAGCTCCCCCAACTTCTTAAAATAATTTTTTTCTAATTATCAAAGTGATACATGTTAACTATGGAAATTTAGAAAATACAGTAAAGCACAAAGAAAAAACTCAATTCACCTCCCCTCCCCCGCCGCACTGATTTGCAACCTAATATTTTCACTTGACATAAACACTCCTCCACGTCTTCTAAGATTCTTCCATTATTTTTAATGTTACTGTTTTTAATGTTGGACATTTGAATCATTTTTCATTCATGTATTTTCTGTATGAATATATGCTATTATAAAAAATGCAACAAGCGTTCTAAAACATAACCTCTGTGCACAAATCTTATTATTTCTTCAACTTGACCATCCAATGCTGCTCTTTCCAGTCTTCATCCTCTACACTTCTCTACAGGGTAACCACCATTTTCAAACTCTCCCTCCTCACCCCTACCTCCAACCATCCTGAAAATTTCCTGCTTGGCTTTGAATTCAGATTCTCTCTTGTCACAGCAGGAAGTCCACCTCATTTTGCTAAAGCTTTTCCCTGAAATCTACAAGTATGTCTTCTTTCCTACCACCTCCCTTAATATGTTAACATCTCCACCCTGCTCTCTCCACTCCACGCAGCATGCCGGGTGCTCTTGCCTCCTGCACTGGTTTAAAATACTAATAATACATGCCTCCAAGTCTTTTGCCCTGTTCTCTTCTCCCATCTGAGCTCCCCACAGAAACATTTAGTTGCAAACACTTCACATTTGGCCTTTCCAAAACCAGACTCACTTCTCCTATGCACAGTCCTACGACCTGATTAATTTTATGAAATCTCAGTCATCAACTGCCACGCCGTCTGCATCCCCTTCCTCATTCTACAGGCCTCCTCTCCGACCCTCTCTGCAACCACCCGGTCCTGGTCACCTGGCCCTCAGGGTGTCCCACATCCTCACTTACACAGCTTCGGCCCAGGCTTCCTGTCCCCCTGCACTCTCTACCACGACAGCCTCCTCGAGGGTCTCTTCGCCTAGGGTTTGCCCTCTGAATCGATCCTCCATGCTACCACAGTGCTCTTTTCAAAATACAATTGTGACCAAATTGTTTCCTGCTTAAGACACTTAGAAGATCCCCACCTCCTTCAGAAGAAGACCTACGCCACTTCTGGAGTCGCGGAGACCTGCCACCACTTGGCCTCTCCACTCCAGCTGCATAGCCACCACACCTGCAGTCCACTCAACAGGGAGTGCACCACATCTCCCAGCACATGTGGTTGCTGGCACCCCTCTGGGCTTTTACATGTGCCCATCTCTCTGTCTGGAATGCCCTTCAGCTCCCCTGTCCTTGCACCAAGGAGTGAAAGCCCTGCCCGAATCCCCAGATAGAATTATCCATACGCCCGCACTACAATGTCTTTGCTTGCTGCCTACATCTGTTAGGGTACGTAACCCACGACACTGGAGTTGTTTGCATGTCTGTCTCCCTAGCAAAATGCAATTATCTGAAGCACAGGACAGCTCGTTTCCTCTTTGTATTTCTAGCATCTGGCTGTATTTGGAATATTGCACGATTGGTCAATAACTGAACGATTGTCGGTTAGAGAGAGCACAGCCTTATAACGTCAAGGTCATGGGTTCAGATCCCCACACCAGCCAGCCACCAAAACAAAAACAAAAACAAAACACACACAAAACAACAACAAAAATAACAATGATTAAATATTGAGGTAATGGAAGAAAATACAAAAGGTTAAACTGAAACAATGATGTGGCATGAAAATATAAATAGAAGCAAACAGCACTTATGTGGAGTTTAAAAGGGTAGCATGTGAAATATGAAATACACAAGCATGAAAATGTTCATGTCCACAAATACAAAGCACGGAAAATACATGAGGGACAGTCTTCTCCCTGCTGGAATTCTGGTGTAACAGCGCAGTCACTGTAACACATCTCATACTCTTGACCTTCTCAAATTTCACATCTCTTGTTAATAAGGTAATACACAGTTATTATCAGCTCAGTCTTGATAGACTGTAACAAACTATCATTATATAATTTTAGGGCTAAAAGGGATGTTAGAAACTTCCCATTTAGTGGTCCTGGGAGTGGAAGGAGAAAAGGATCGGATCAGAATCAGCTAGGGGGCCAGCCCGGTGGCACACCGGAGAGTGCGCTGCTTGGGAGTGTGGCGGCGCTCCCGCCAAGGGTTCGGATCCCATGTGGAGACCGG